GATCTCCTCCATACCTGCTTCATGCCCTGGAGGACGGGGCTGTGGCTCCCCACACCCTCTAGCAGATTATTACATGAAGGAACCTTTTAAATACAAGCGCGCTCATGCTCACAGGTGTACACACGGGTGCTCACAGACTCAAACTACACCCCTTTTGGCTCCTACCTCAAGCACACTATGCGCTGTCGATCCTACATGCTGCACAATAATAATCAATATTTAGTATTTACTGTTATATTCACATAGATTATCGCGATGATGTTGTTTATTATAGTGCTCTCTTTTTTTTGCTTGTTTTCTCTTTTTTCTTTCTCAACAGGTGATCCAGGTGATTGATGTTTTTTTTTGTCTGTTTGTTTTGTTGGTTTTTGTTTAAAAAAAATGGTTTCAATGTGACATATAAACAGGAATAGAACAAGTAAGAAGTTACTTACATCACCGTTAATCTCTACTACTGTGATCACCAGAAGGTGAAATGTCAAAGCAACCAGGATAAAATTCCTCGTTTTTGTAAGAAGAAAGAACTGTTTTGATGTAGTACGTGTTACTTGCAAGGGGAGCACAGTGGCGGAGTCCAGTGCTGCCACTCAGCTGTCCAAGCAACTCTAACTCCTCTGCCTGCCTCACTCTTTTATTGTAAGCAAAGTAGGTCACCTAAGTTTCCAGAAACTTCAAAATAATCCCATATAAGGCAAACACTTGATTGGTTATACAGTCTCTTTTTTTTCAAGCAGAATGTGACTTCCTTTAACTATCAGATTATTCAGTCCTTGCAAAACATGTCTTTCCGGTGAGATAATGGAAACTGGCAGGTGTGGTTGTGGTTTCAGTTCTGCTTTCTTGCAGAACTCTTGCAGAGTTTATGTTTGAAGGGGGTGGGAGTACATAGTGTTATTTGTTCACACTCCTTTTTAAGCACATGTTGTACTAGAGGACAGTATTTTCCTTCATGTATATACTGTACGCGCTGTTTTTGTCATGACCCTGTGCCTTCTCGGCTGACTCTGTATGGCTACAAGTGTTTTTGTTGTGCTGCGTCTCTTTCTCTCCCCTCCCGCGCACTGCGCTTGTCGCGGTTCGAATTTTGAGGAAGAGACATACGACTGAAAGTCCATAGTGGGTCAACACAAATTATTTTATTAAAACACATATATGTGGTGAAGATAGGCTCCGCGAAACATCAGGCTCCATCTCCCGCCTGACAATAGGTGGGGTGTAATATTTATACAAGCAATACGCGTCACTGCAGATGCATGTTCCAGTAACTCCAGCGAGGACATATTCTAAAAAAGAACAGTTCCTTCCGATGTTCCTCCACCTAACAGATGCATCCTGTTATTACACTCTTACACTGGACTTATTGGAACTAAACTGTCACGTATGCACGTACACAGCCTTTGCAATCAGTTCCCTCAGGCAGACTATGTGTCTGTTGTGACCTTAGTGCCTGACCCCCCTCTACGTCCTCTGTTAACAGGCAAACTTCAATGCAGAAGGCTGCTGAATGCACACAGGCAATATGTAGTAAATTATACTGTAAACATGTAGGCAACCTTTCAATAGCTGAACTTTGCTCCATTGATCGGCCAGACATCGCGCTGCCCGTAGCTTCAAACCATTAATTAACTTGACCGAGCTTCAACCCTTTAATTATGCAATATGTGTATAACATGATTACAGTTGCACCTGCAATGAAAGATTATGTGCTTATGCTAACACCTGAAATACAGACTTTAATATAACCTCACCAGTTTCAATAAATGTGTCAATGAAATGATAACAATGATAAATCATAAATGATACAACAGTAATCATAAGGATCATGAATAGTAACACAGATTATGAATGTAAAATAATATTTCATCTCGACACGCTCTACCGGGGCGGAGTCATGACGGCTCCAGCCCCTGGCTCGGACACCTGCAAACAATCGTCTCATCTCATTCACTTCTTAAGGCGGCTGCTGAGAGTGCTTCTTCGCTGGATTATTGTGTAACACTCGTCAGTGTCATTGCAAATCTGATCTTTTTCCCGAGTTTCTTTCGTGCCGCAACTTACTTGTTCTTCCTTCCTGTGCCAGATTTCTCCCCAGCCTGAGGACCGCCGTTTGGTGAGCTAAAAGCTACCTGAGCTTCAGTGAAGGATTGTGTACATAGCCCGTCCCCTTCCCGTGCCTGTGTTCCCCGGAGACCCTCTTCCTGTGCCCCCTCACCTGTATATATCCGCACCTGGTGTCTGTGTGTAAATAAATTGTGAACTTAAGTGACGGTCTGCCTCCGAGTCTCTCCTGAGCCTGACAGAATAATCCAGCCATCGCTATGGACTCGGCAGACCCAGCTTCGGCAGCGACAGCCCCCATGTCTCTGGAGGAGCTTCTGAACCGACACAAACAAATGCTAGTAAGGCTCAGCGGAGAAGTGGCATCTCTAACTCAGGCTTTCGCCCAACGGATTTTTGTTTTGTTTAAACGTACGCATATGCTTGAAATAAATTTAAAGATTTCAGTTGGTGTCATGCTTGTTTGCACTTCCTTTTCTTCATGTGTTCAATACTTTTTCCCTGTGTCATTTGTCATTATTACACATAGTTTAATTTATGGAGAGCTATGGTTTCATTTCTTTATAAGTGTGGCCCGGATGGGTTGTTACTGACATTTGGCAAGAATTTCATGCCAATGGCACCTTTGGAAATCTATTTACTTAGAAAACTGGTGATGAGTTCAATACTTATTTTACCTGCTGTACACCCTAGTGTCCTTTCATGTCTAAATATAGAAATAAATTTAAAGGAAACATTTCAGTGGAATTGTGGCCACTGACTGAATACACTTGGGTCTATTTTTTGGGCAAACACATACTTTTTTCTACTTTTTCCTCCACCAGAGTGGTTCTAAATGAAACAATGAAGATGCCATTGAAATCTTGCGGGGGTGCCTAGTTGTGGTCGTTTTATGGTGAAATGATCCTCTTTATACTTCCAGATTAAAGCCTCAGCAGTGCTCATTGGAACCATGGTTTTGTACAGTTCAATACATTTCAGGTGGTGTCATGGTTTTCCATGGCCTTTTGGACTTCCCTTTCTGCATGTGTTCAATACTTTTTCCCTATAACGTAAGATTCATGTTATGTTTGTCAGTTTAAAAATACTGCTTAGACGTTACAACCATTTTAGACATATTCCCCCATTTTAAGTTTCTCAGTACTGAACTTTGTTAAATTTCTTCAATTAAAGCTGAAAATCTGCACTTTAAACATATTTAACTTTTTTTTTTTTTTTAAATGTCCTTTCTTTTAATTATTAATATTTTCTCTGATTCTGAGGGGTACAAAAACATGCTTATAAATGTTACCAGTCATTTAAACCTTCCCTCTCTTGACTCTGTGTCTACAGGTCTCATCAGAAATCTTACTATGTGCTTGAGAGCTAGGTCTGCCCGGGGATTCTGGCCTGTGACCTGGAGCAGGAATGAAGAGCAAGCTGCTGAGGCCTGATCACATCTTTCTTACTCCTCATCACCATAGTTTTTCTTATTCAAACTTCAAACCCAACTGACTCAAGTGACATCAATTGCAAACATTTAACAGTTTTTACTTAATTTAACAGTTTTATTTGAATCAGTTGGGTTTGAAGTTTGAATATGAAAACAAAGAAAAAAAAAGAAAAAGTGTTGTTGGGTCAAAATGGATCTCATGTGCATGCAATAGCTTCCTAGAATTTTAAGCCCCATGTGAGTGTCTCCCAAGGGGGGAGTGACCCACACCCTCTACCTAGTCACACCTTGGCATGCGTGACTAGGTAGAGGATCAATAGGGGGTCCATGGCCCCTTTGGGGGACACTCCCACAGGGCTTAAAAATCTGGGACTCTCCACCGTTTGCTCTTAGAACTGAAGAAGCTTCACAAACCTCCATTCTCTTTTTGGCTTTGGTGCGGGGGGGCTGGGAGGAGAAGTTGGCGGTCTGGTTGGGGTCTGGGATGCGGGGCCTTCCTCCTGCTATGGGACTGAGGAGTATCTGCTTGTCTCCACCCCAGGGAAAAGGGTAACATCTCCTGGGTCTAGGAGCGGATTCCCCCTCTGGGGGCGAGGTTGAAGTTTGAGAATTAAAAAAACTGGTGATGAGGAGTAAGAAAGATGACCGAAATCTCCAGACAGACCTAGTTCTCAAACTCATGGTAACCTTATTTCTTTTAGTCAAAGGAGCTTGCAAAGAAAAGCGTCTGGACTTCTTTAAGTTACTTATTTCTTTTATTTAACAAAACAAAAGTGTTGTTGTGTCAAAATGTATCTCATGTGTATGCAATAGCTTCAGCACTCTTTGGATCTGATTTATTTTCTTAATACTTTCCCAAAATTCAAAGTATTTCTAAACATCAAATGATGATGCTTTCACTGCCTGCTGTGAGAAATATTTGGAATTTGTTCTTTATTTGTCTTTTTGACATAATGTTACTTGTATAGTCCAAGCTTTGTGCTGTAGGGATCAACTGTGTTTGCTGTCATTGTATGTTAGGTAACTGTACCATGTTTATGGGCAGTCAAACAAACAAACAAACAATTCATGTGTGACATTCCCTTGTTTATTTAAACAAATACACTGCAGAATCACCGTGTCCTTTTGAGCACAATTCAAATGAAAATAAAATGTGCAGCTAACTTGTAGAGTGATGGCGCTATGCAACCTTCTCATGATCTTTGCAAGAACTGGCACGCTAAAAAAAAGAAAGAAAAGTAGAACAGACAACACAGTCATTTCAGAGATTTTACTGACATTTTCATTCCTTGTCAGAGGAGTCTTGGGCAGGACACAGGGAGAATACAGGAAGAATCAAAAGTAAGTAGAAGGTACTTAACACAAAGCGATGAATATGAGTCTGACTATAATACCACTCGCAGAGTGAGGCTACTATTCTGAACTCTGACAAATACACCGAACGTTATTCACATATTGAGACAAATGAAAAAAAAGAACACAGAAATAGAAAAAATAGACCATTAATACATAAGGTCAACAGGGACAGTGACAAACATTTATGAGACAAATAAGAACTGCACGGAAGCACTTCAGTTTGACACAATCAAAACATAATCTTGATCAGTGTTTTATTTCCAATGAAGACTTCATGTCATGTAAAAGAATGAAAATAGAAAAGCAAGACAGGGTAAAAGTGTGGGATTCCTTAAAACACTCTTAAGCATTACAGCATTATTACACTGAGCCTCAACTTCTGAATTTTTGTGAAGTTCGTCTAATATTTTAATGATTTCTGCATCTGATATGCTTTCTGTTGCTTCATCTGCTTTAGGTAATTTCTTTCCAGAGAAAAAAAGGCGAAAATAGCCTGCTGTGGTTCCAGGCTGTGAACAATAGAAAAGAAGAAAATCATTGTTAAAAGGAGGGTTATTTACCTTCTGTTCTCCAGTTTGAAATCTTTTAACCATCTAACAAGCAAACACAGTACAATATTATTGTCACATACCTGCTTAAAATATGCTTTTCCATAACGCACGTAAGTTGCAAGATGTTCACAGTTGTTTAACAGGAGATCATATTTTCCACAGTGTGTCTCATTGGCCATGACTTTGATGTGTTTAATTATGTCAGCTTGACTTGATGGTGTCAACTTTTTATCCAGATAATTTTCTTTTGCATGTTCTCCCTCATTTGTGAGAGACTCGAAAACACAGTATTTACCATCAGTGGGCTTATCTGCAATGATTAGAAGAAACTATTAGAAATACTTTTTAATAATTTGACAGCAAGCCTGTTACCATTTATAACTTGTTTCATTTGCTTTTTCCCCTATTTCCATTTGTATCATAAATGTAACTGCTATTTCTGTACTTCAACAAAAGTAAGGAAAATGTGCATCAGCTACAAGACCCCTTTAATATGATTTTGACCTGTAGGTAACTCCTATTGGTTAATGATTTAAAATTATAATGATGTGCATTCACAAAGAATTTTTACATGATCTTAACATGCATGTGTTTCAGGGATTAACTGATTACTGTACTTCTCATATAGTTTCAGTTTAAGTAATAAGTAATACATACATATGCGGTGAAATATGTCCTTGTCTTCTCCTTGGCCAAATAAATTCTTTGTACCCACATAAACAGCAAAGTGTTTGTAAGTTATCTTGGTTTTGGCACATTTCCTTCGAAATGAAATTATATCTCCAAATGTGTACTGAAAATAGAAAAGATGGCTTTACCAACAGATACTGACTGCAAAACAGAAAAAACAGCAATATTTTGTCTCCAAATAATAAAAGACTTGAATGAATGTTTTTAAAAATTAATTTTTATACACCCAGTAAAATACAATAACAACAGCACTGTAACAATAGCATGGGTTAGGTTTAAATTTATTTGTTGTTATTCAAGTAAAGTAAACTGAAAGTTTAGAGGTCAGGATGTACCACAAAGCTTTGTGGAATATCACTGATAAAATGGCAGGTGTCCAGATCTGGTACTTTCTTCATACTTTAAACAAAATCTAAACACAGTGAAGTTCATAAGAGTAAAACTGTGAATACTTTCTACTGATGCAGCTTGCAAAAGTATTACTTTTTTTTGTTCCATAAGAAATTTTCTGCCAGTCTTTTAAAAAAAAAAAAGAAGCATTTTACATGTTACACTGGCAGTCTTACACAAATAAATATGGCTTCAATGTGACATATAATTCATATTATACAAAACAGAAATAGAAAAAGTAAGAAGTTACTTACATCACCGTTAATCTCTACTACTGTGATCACCAGAAGGTGAAATGTCAAAGCAACCAGGATAAAATTCCTCATTTTTGTAAGAAGAAAGAACTGTTTTGATGTAGTACGTGTTACTTGCAAGGGGAGCACAGTGGCAGAGTGCAGTGCTGCCACTCAGCTGTCCAAGCAACTCTAACTCCTCTGCCTGACTCACTCTTTTATTGTAAGCAAAGTTGGGCAGAACATCTAAGTTTCCAGAAGCTTCAAAATAATCCCATATAAGGCAAACACTTGGTTATAACACTTGATTGGTTATACAGTATCTTTTTTCAAGCAGTACGTGACTTCCTCTAACTATCAGGATATTCAGTCCTTGCAGAACATGTCTTTCTGGTGAGATACTGGCAGGCGTGGTCGCGGTTTCAGTTTCTCTTTCTTGTAGAACTCTGTGAGTTTAAAAGGTTACAACATGAAACAGTCTAGCAGGTTCAATAATAATATGAAGAAGCACCTTAGTGATGTGAGGTGGATAATTGTTAAAAGTAGTCTGCATCAAGCTTAGGGTAGCTCAAATTCAGTATAATGACATATGAGATGAAGTAAACAAGGAAAATATCTAAACTAATTAAGTGCATAGAGGCACTAGACCTGTTTGAAAACCTGTCATCCTAGATGAGACATTGTTGAGATATAGAGTACACCTATACAAACAACTAATATGCTCAACCCTGTGTACAGCAGCTAAAGCCACTAGATGGAAAATGGAGAAGCTGAATTAAATCTATGATCACTTCTAAGCAGTTACACAGAGACATGGATGTTTTTTATTTTCAGAGCAGGAACTGCATGAGATCAGAGGAGGGGAAACACAGCTACTATAGCCTTTTTAGATCAAGCATGCGGCTGTCTGTGAGCATTTTTAACACTTAACTAAAGTACAGTTTTTCGTCCTTCACACCTCTGATTTGTCTGCGGAAGCATCCTGACTTGTGTGTAAAGCGTTCATAACATCAGCAACATGTGTTCTTTTGTTTGTTTGTTTTCTCGAGTTGATAACTAAATAAATAAATAAATAAATTTGTGATCATACCTGTGGATCACAGTAGCACATAATGATTATGCATATGATTTACTAATGCAGATTAAGCACAATGTTAGAGTTTGTATTGTTGATTGTCATTTATGCTTAGAAATATTTACTTATATATGCTTAGAGTTTTGTAATTAGTTGTAGATTGGTAGAGGTTTTGATCCTTGATAGTCTGCAAACTTTGTGTGTATTAGACAGCACTTTGGGAGCATGAGAG